AGGACTCCAGGATCATGACCTGAGCCGAAGGCAGTTGCTTAACCAACTGAGCCACCCAGGCGCCCCCTTTAGTAATTTCTTGTAGTGAAGATCTCCTAGTGACAAATTTTGTTTCACTTATCTGAAAATGTCTTTCATTGTCATTCTTGACGGATATATTTGCATGTTATAGAATCCTTTGTTATACTATTTCAGCATTTTGAAGCTATCATTCCTTTATTTTCTGGCTTTGTTTCTGATGAGAAGTCAACTTCAGTTTAATTATTGCTCTTCTGAAGGTAATTCACATCCTTTTCCTCTGAAAACTCTAAAGATTCTTTCATTTTCAGCAGTCATATTAAAATGTATGTAGGTAGAGATTTTTAATATTTTTTTTGCCTGGGGTTAAGAAGGCTTATTAAATATTGAGTCTTTCATTGGTTTTTAAAAATTCACAATTCATAGTGTTTCCCAACATATTTCTTCTCTTAGTAGTCAGATTTCTTGAATCAATGGTCCATTTCTACTATCTTTTTGTCTCTTCCTAATGATTAAGTTATCCTCTATCTATCCTTGCATCTCCTCTGTAGTTTCCACCTTTTTGTTCCTTTATTCTTTCTAGGTAAATTCTTCTGACCTATCTTCTAATTTATTAGTTTTCTCCATAGCTGTATTTATCCTGCTCTTAAATCCATTCGTTGAGTTTCTCATGTTGATTACTGCTGATTACTGAAATCTGCTATATCATTTGTATCATTTCCAGTTCTCTTGAAAATTTCAATGTTGACTTTTATCCCTTTAAACGTTAAGTGTCTTAGCTCAGGCTGCTTTAACAAAATACCTTAACTGGGTAGCTTAAACAACAGAAATTCATTTTTTCACAGTTCTGGATGCTAGGAGTCCGAGATCAGGATGTCAGCACTCTCTTCCTGGTTTGTAGATGGCTGCCTTCTTGCCAGGTCCTCACATGGCAGGGAAAAAGAACAAGCTCTCTGATGTCTCTTCTTATAAGGGCACCATTCCCATCATGGGGGTTCTGCCCTCATGATCTCATCTAAGCCAATTATCTCCCATAGCCCTCATCTCCAAATACCATCATATTGGAGGTTAGGGCTTTAACATCTGAATTTTGGAGGGACACAAGTCTGTAGTACTCCACCCCACGCCCCCCCACATCTATGTCCTTCTCATATGCAAAATACAATCATTCCATCCCAATAGCGCCCAAAGTTTTAACTCATTAGAGCATCAACTAAGTCTCATCTAAATATCCTCTAAATCAGGTATGGGTGAGAGTCAGGGTATGATTCATCCTGAGGCAAATTCCTCTCCAGCTGTGAACCAAATGAGTTAGGTACTTTTTTTTTTAAGATTTATTTTTATTTATTTCAGAGAGAGAGAGAATCCCAAGCAGACTCCATGCTGAACAGAGCCTGGCATGGGGCTTGATCTCATGACCCTGAGATCATGACCTGAGCCGAAATCAAGAGTTGGACATTTAACCAACTGAGCCACCCAAGGCGCCCCTCATCCCAACTAGGGGTTGGAGTCCCAACCCAAATGGAGGAGGCTTACCAGGGCCTCCAGCTTGACTCTAGTTTTTGTCCCCCTAGTTTTACAAAGCTGGTGAAAGCATCACTCAGCTTTTCAGCCCCATTTTCTAGAATGTGCATATTCCCTCAGGGGGGAAAAAAAGTGACTGCAAATGCCAGCATCAACTCTCTGAATTTGTCTTCTCTTAGATATTTGCCCAGAAATTCCTCACTGTTAGCTCTCCATTATCTTCAAGCTGATTAAAAATATTTTAAAATCAGTGGTCCATGCCTACATCCTTAAGCATTATTAAATAATCTCACATCTGTCCTTCCATCCTTCCCACAGAGAAGGGGGAGACAGTACATACATGGGGGCAACTAAGCATCATGTTCCAAACATTAATAAAGCAGTAAAGAGATACTTTATACTCAGAAGTAAATGCAGACATACTCAATTTAAACTATGTAAATTATTTATCTTATTAAATTTTCATGTAAGAAAAATGACTATCCAAGTATTGAAGGTGACTTTTATCACAATAGTAAGATAGGCAAAATGCTATGGTCCTTGAATTTATATTATATAGATGTATGGATAACATTACCTGTAAATACATGGTTTATCTTTTCGGGGATTTCAGAGGTTATTTCATTATTAATTAAAAACAAAAGATTTTCTGCTGTAATTTACAGCCATAGCTTGGTATTTAAGAGTCCTTCGTCAGTTTTCTCTCTTCTTCCTTTCTTTCTTTTTCTAGAGATTTTATTTATTTGAGAGAGTGAGTGAGAGAGCACGAGAGCAGGGTGAGGGACAGAGGGAGAGGCAGACTCCCCACTGAGCAGGGAGCCTGACACAGGGCTCGATCCTGGGACTCTGGGATCATGACCTGAGCCAAAGGCAGACGCTTAACCAACTGAGCCACCCAGGCGCCCCCTCTGCTTTCTTTCTTAACTGACCCTTCATCTCAATATTCCTTCCATGATCCTCTTTGATTGAAACTTAAGGTCCCACTAGATTCCCTTGCAGAGGGTCTGCTGGTCACATAAGTGCAGGCAAACCTCTAGTGAAGGGACATTACTGTATAAAATGATACCATTAGTGGCAGCGCTGGCTAACACTCAAATCTTCTGAATGCCAAGCTCAAATTTCTCCGGAAGCCTTGTGTCTTCCCTATCCTGATAGCATACTCTCACGCCAAAATAGTAGATGATGTGCTTGACCAGAAAAGGGTTGAGAGAGAAGGTATATGCAAAGGGTTCACTCCCTTTCTTGAGAATTCTCATAAGAATTTTACTTTCAATTGACTGTAGCTCTGTTTTCCTAGCAATTCGATAAGGTAGTTTGTATCAACTATGTTACTAAGCAACACTACTTGCCCTCCAAGTGGTAACTAGCATTTGATTGGAAGGAATTACAAATGAACTAGTACTACCTAATAGGAAACCATATTTGAGTTTTCCTGAGTGTGCTGACTTTTGTAACTGAGTGAATCCATTAAGGGACCCTGGACACTGTGTCTATGGAATCATTACAAGACATCCTGGCTCCTGAGGCACGGAAACCAGGGCAGGTCTGCACCTACCCAATGTCAATCTCTCTTCCTTGCGTCTGGGCTTTGTAACCAGGGGACTAAATAGCTATGTGTTCATCTGTGTGGACACGGCAAGAGCTTCCATATAAAGAGAAGCACCTGCAGCTGCCCTGCTCGAAGCTGGGGTTCCTATCTTCTATCTTGCTGAGTAAACAGATACTCAGCTCCTATCGAAACTTGTCTGTGTTAGTCTTGTGAGTAGGAATGTTTAGTTGAGCCTAAGACCAACTCCTGGTGGGCCCTGCAGGAGTCATCTGGGCTAGAACTGGACAGGCTGTGCCTCATGCTGTGCTTACAACCAGCGTGATGAGACAGGGATTCCTTCTCTACTCCCTAAGAACAAGCTGCTTTTTATAACATGGACACATTTTACAGCTTTATTTGTGATCAAATACCATCATGTGCTTTAAGGACCCATAAAAAATTACCCAGAATCCTATTTTCTGGACACAGGAGTCCAACTGCTATAATGTCAACTCTATTCTCTAAGAATTTCAACAGTAGGTTCCATCACCTAGATGAAATGTGCCAATTTGAATGGGAGTGTTTCACTTTCTTAAACACATTAGGGTTGTTGGAGTAGAGCAGAGAGCTGAATGATGCTGCCTCTCCTCCCCTCTGCTTCCTTTCAGATAAAAAGTCAAACTCACCTTAGCTGCGATTCTTATTTTTGAGTTTTTTCCTCAGGTGACTTGTCAGTGTCCGAGACCTCCTCATCTTGCTGTTGCGCCACAGAATTCTTATTGACCATGTCTTCTGTGTGGCTGTGGATGATCTGATGGGCTGCAAGGATATGCTTCCGCTGGGCGTTTCTCACTGTGCCAAAGTGACAAGAAATTTTACTCTGAAAGTCTAAACAAAATCATTCCCAAAGATTTTCAAGAAAGCAGTGACAGAAATAATTTGGTAAACCACATATTCCCCTGCTTCAAGCTGATGAGCGTAAATAGCAATGAGCTGCTCTCTGTTGTAGAAGTATGCCTTCTAGAGGGAACCAGACCTAAGGTTGATCATTGCTGCTCTCCCTGTCCCCACTCTCTGGTTCAGTCCGGTCAGGCTCCTCCCCACGCGGCTGGCCTCTATTGCTGTCCTCCCCAGCTGCCCTCTGCTGGAGTGTCTGCACAGCCCAACTCAGGGCCCAGCTCCGCCAGGAAGCCTCCTCTGACCGGGCTGACCCACATCCACCATTGCCACACCTGAGTTCCCACAAACCCACGCAGCACTGAAGCACTCAGTGTGAGTTTCGTTTTGTTTTTTTAACTAGGTTGTAATGACTTACAGGTAGAGACCTTGTGTCCTACTTCTCTTTGAGCTTTTGTTCCTAATATGGAGCATAGTTGTTGACTGATGATGAGTTTCTGAGCTCATGGCTTTAGAAGGTGGTCTTTGCTCCATATTCTAAGGGTATTTATTATCAAGGATTAGTACATTAAGCATCCCATCTCCCTTGGAAGGGACTAATCATGATGATGATGATAACGTTAGCACACAGCATTTGTCCTTACTTTGTGCCAGGCACTGTTTTAAGCAGTTGGCGTATATCCATTTAAACCACCCCACAACCCTAAAAGAGATGATGAATAATATCCCCATTTTCAGGGCGCCTGGGTGGCTCAGTTGGTTGGGCGACTGCCTTCGGCTCAGGTCATGATCCTGGAGTCCCTGGATCGAGTCCCGCATCGGGGGTCCCTGCTTGGCAGGGAGTCTGCTTCTCCCTCTGACCCTTCCCCCGCTCATGTGCTTTCTCTCTCTCTCATTCTCTCTCTCTCAAAAATAAATAAATAAAAAATCTTAAAAAAAAAAAAATAATCCCCATTTTCAGATAAGGAAACGGAGACACAGAGAGATTAAGTAATTTGCCCCAAATAACACAGCCGGTAAAGGACAGTAAGAAGTACTATGGATTCTGTGCTGTTCATGTATCAGCGAGTTTACAGAGGATAAATCACATTTTATAGAGGATAAATCAACTTCCACTTCACAGTAGTATGGTTGAAAGAATGGGGACTTTGGAGCCACACAGACCATGGTTCACATCTGTAAGTTGTATAAACTCTCTAAGCACTAATTTCCGTAATTGAAAATGAGAATACAGCTCCAGCTATTTTAAGAAATTGAGATAGGTACTTTTTAAATGCTTAGTCCCGTGTCTGGAACTTAGCATGCACTTAAAATTTGGTAGTTACTGTTATTTTACATCTATATACAAGTCTCTTCAACATCTATATACAGGTCTCTTCAAGGGCTTCAATCATGATATACCTCAAAATAGTCTGTATATATTACCTTAATTTGGGGTAAAGAGTCTATATAATACATATGGTTCTTTTAAGAAACAAAAGGTCCTAGTGTGTGCTCCCTGTCCAGATGGCTTTTTTCATTTGGTGTAATAGAAAGAGGAGAGGCTGAGGACTTGCCCAGCTTCCCCACAGACAAGTCCCACTGGATTCCTTCAGCTCAAGTGCCTCCTCCAGCTCCTTTCCCTCAGAGCCCAGAGAAGCTAGGGGAAGGGATCACAAACTAGTAACTACTAAACACTAGTTCCCTGCCTCCTTCAATCCCCTCAGTTAGAATTGACCTAAAGAAGACTGACCTCACTTTGGACCTAGGAAAAATAAAAAGGATTTGCATATTTTCTTAAAGATTCAGAAAACACAAGATCCCTTTTATATTATAAAAAGGTGACACAGAAACATCGATTATTTTATCTGAAAATGAAATGTTATTGATATAAGCACTATCATACACCACTGATGGGAGTACGAATTAGAACAATCTTTTTGTGGGGGCTCTTTGGTAGTATCTAGCAAAAGTAAAATGCACATACCCTATTTCTAGCACTGTACTGCTAGCAATTTACTGTCAGTAGCATGAGCAGGATAGGCATAGAATATATTGCCTGCAGCACTGCTAGTTATAGGAAAACACACTGAAACAAACTAAATGCTTATCACTAAGAGGTACGGGCTTAGAAATTACAGTACAATCATGTAATGGGAAAATAAGGTATTTCTTTGTTCTCTTCAAATGCATTAGAACTCCACCATTCCTCTATCCCTATTAGGTGATCGGAAATGTTATACTTCTCTTAAACCTGTCCAGAATTCCCTGAACAACATGGAAACCTTGTAAAAAATAACCAAGCTGTTCTTTCACTTAAATTTTTTTATTTAAATTCAATTTAATTAACATATACTGTATTATTAGTTTCAGCGGTAGAGTTCAGTGATTCATCAGTTGCATATAACACCAGTGCTCATTATATCACGTGCCCTCCTTAATGCCCATCACCCAGTTACCCCATCCCCCACACCCCTCCCCTACAGCAACCCTGTTTGTTTCTTAGAGTTAAGAATCTCTTATGGTTTGTCTCCCTCTGATTTTGTCTTACTTTATTTTTCCCTCCCTTCCCCTGTGATCCTCTATTTTGTTTCTTAAGTTCCACACGAGTGAGATCATATGATAATTGTCTGACTGATTTATTTCGCTTAGCATAATACCCTCTAGTTCCATCCACGTCGCTGCAAATGGCAAGATTTCATTCTTTCTGATGGCTGAGTAACATTCCATTGTGTATATGTACAACATCTTCTTAATCCATTCATCTGTCGATGGACATCTGTGCTCTTTCCATATTTTTTTGATTGTAAACATTTGAGGCTTACAAAAGATTTTAATTTTTTTATTCTTTTTTAAAATTCCAGTACAATTAAAATACAGTGTTATATTAGTTTCAGGTGTATAATATAGTGATTCAACAATTCTATACATTTCTCAATGTTCATCATGTTAAGTGAACTCTTAGTTCTCTTCACCTATTTCACCTATTTGCCCACCAATCTCCCCACTGGTAACCATCAGTTTGTTCTCTATACTTAAGATTCTTTTTACTTGTCTCTTTTTTTCTTTGTTGATTTAATCTGTTTTTAAACTTAACATAGGAGTGAAATCATATAATTGTCTTTCTCTGACTCACTTATTTCACTTACCATTATACCTTCTGGATCCATCCATGTTGTTGCAAATGGCAATGTTTCATTCTTTTTTATTTTATGGCTGAGTAATATTCCATTGTGGATATATACCACATCTTTATCTATTCATCTATTGATGGACACTTGGGCTGCTTCCATAATTTGGCTATTGTTAAATAATGCTGCAATAAACACAGGGATGCATATATCTTTTCAAATTACTGTTCATATTCTTTAGGTAAATACCCAGTAGTGGAATTACTAGATCATTTGGCAGTTCTAGTTTTCATTTTTTTGAAGAACCTCCATATTGTCTTTTACAGTGGCTGCACCAGTTTGCATTCCTACCATAAGGGTATGAGGGTTCCTTTTTTTTTTTTTTTTTTTTTACACACATCCTTGCCAACACTTTTTTCTTGTGTTTTTGATTTTAGCCATTCTGACTGGTATGAGGTGATATCTCACCATGGTTTTAATTTGGACTTCCCTGATGATTAGTGATGTGATCATCTTTTCATGTGTCTCTTGGCCATCTGTATGTCTTCTTTGGAGAAATGTGTTCATGTCTTCTGTCCATTTTTTAATTGGATTTTTTCTTTTGGTCTTGAGTTATAAAAGTTCTTTATATATTTTCTAACCCTTTATTGGATATGTTATTTGCAAATATCTTCTCCCATTCAGTAGGTTGTCTTTTAGTTCTGTTGATTGTGTCCTTTGCTGTGCAGAAGCTTTTAATTTTGATGTAGTCCCAATAGTTCATTTTGCTTTTGTTTCCCTTGCCTCAGGAGACATATCTAGAAAAATGTTGCTATGACCAATGTCAGAAATTATTGCCTGTGCTCTCTTCTAGAATTTTTATGGTTTCAGGTCTCACATGTAGGTCCCTAATCCATTTTGAGTGTATTTTTATGTATGGTGTAAGAAAATGGTTCAGTTTCATTCTTTTGTATGTAGCTGTCCAGTTTTCCCAACACGATTTACTAAAGAGACTTTTTCCCATTGCATATTCTTGCCTCCTTTGTGGAAAATTAGCCATTATAATTGTGGTTTTATTTCTGGGCTTTCTATTGTGTTCTATTGATCTATGTGTCTGTTTTTTGTGCTGGTACCATACTGTTTTGATTGCTACAGCTTTGTAGCATATCTTGAAATCTGGGATTGTGATACCTCCTGTTTTGTTCTTCTTTTTCAAGACTGCCTTGGTCATTCAGGGTCTTTTGTGGTTCCATACAAATGTTAGGATTATTTGTTCTAGTTTTGTGAAAAATACTGTTGGTATTTTGATAGGGACTGCATTAAATCTGTAGATTGCTTTGTGTAGTATGGACACTTTAACAATTTTGTTCTCCCAATCTATGAACATGGGATGTCTTTCCATTTGTGTCATCTTCAATTTCCTTCATTAATGTTTTATAGTGTTCAGAGTAGAGATCTTTCACCTCCTTGGTTAAGTTTATTCCTAGGTATTTAATTCTTTTTGGTGTAATTGTAAATGGGATTGTTTTCTTAATTTCTCTTTCTGTTACTTCATTATTAATGTATAAAAATTCAACAGATTTCTGCATATTGAGTTTGTATCCTGCAACCCTTCTGAATTCATTTATTAATTCTAATAGTTTTTTGGTCATGTCTTTAGGGTTTTTCTCTATACATTATCATGTCATCTGCCAATAAAGTTTTACTTCTCCTTACTAATTTGGATGCCTTTTATTTCGTCTTCTCTTCTGAGTGCTGTGGCTAGGATTTCCAGTACTATGTTGAATAAAAGTGGTGAGAGTGGACATCTTTGTTTTAATTCCTGATCTTAGGGGGAAAGCTCTGTTTTTCATCACTGAGTATAAT